CCACCAACCCCCCCAACAAAACTTCTGTGTTCAAAGTTTTCTTTGCAGATTCGGGGAGATCTCAGCGACCGCAGTCCAACCATGTTTTAAATTAAAAAAATTGACCCACTTTGGGCCCAACCGGAATTCCGGTTGGACCACTGGGGGTCCAACTGTCCCGGTTGGATCCGGCCCTGTCCAACCGGCCAGTCGCCAGCACAGCCCTGGCACAGATACAAGTTCTTTGGGAAAGTTGATGTCTTGATTTGCTGAGATTCCTGCATGTGTGTTTACTGAGCGTGTGTGTGTGTGTGTGTGTGTGTGTGTGTGTGTGTGTGTGTGTGTGTGTGTATTGTTATTTTCAACTATACAAAACTCAAACATCCGTTAAAACTGGAACGATACAGAGATGATTAGCATGGCCCTTGCGCAGGGATGGCACATAAATCGAGAAATGGTCTAACAGAAAAAAAAGCATGACTGTGTGTGTGTGAGTCTGTTTTGATGCATGCTGAGTGCTACCATCTTCACCCAAACAGAACGCCCGCTCGTACTAACTGCATTTGGGGCAAACTTCAGTCTATAGATACAGCAATAATGACCAGCCATTCTTCTATTCGGGGTGAAGACAGTTGCAAAGGACCTGACCGTCCTCCGCTTGCTGGAGTGTATCACAATGCATGCAACGTCATCATTCACACAGATTATGACTCAACACACACAACGCAGAATGGGGACGAGATGAGAACCAAGACGCGCAGCTTATATTATCTCAAACACATTATAATGAGTATCTCGAGTTCATGAATCCAAGCGCTCGACAATCATGATATGTTCCTCTCTCGAACAACAGCTCAATGGGGCCTGGCTAAGCCAGCGCCACCTCTCATCAACTCGTCAAACGCAGAACAGGTAAGTAGTCACCATAGCCAACTCGTTAACCTGTCTCTTTCTTCTCTCTCTCCTTCCTCAAGATCTCAGCCTCAGTCCTCTTCTCTCATCATGCATGCTTACTCCTACTTCGAGAATCTACTCTGAATGCTACTCACTGTAGACTAAGTCCTATCCCACTAACTATACTAATTAGTAGGGCTGCTATGGCTGCCACTTGCAAGCCAGAAACCAGCTCTCTTCCACCTCTCAGCGCAGCTTCTCCTCCAGCGCTAACCCAGCTAGCCAGCGCACAAGTGCACACAGCACTTCCACGCCAAAATGCCAGTGGGAATCTGATGTCAAGGGAGGCTGGCCTATTGCTTTATACTGCTGGCCTCCCCTGGCGAGGTCTGCATTGGTCTATATTGGCATTTTGGCCTCCTTCAGTCCCAGACCATGCATATGTGTGTGTCCCAGTATTTTCCCCTCAGGGTCTGCTGCTGCTGCGGCCATTTGGCCTGGATTTCGGACTGGGTGTCTGAATCTAGACCCCCTATTAGACTTAGACAGAACTGGGAACCTGCCCTTTGACTTCCTTTTGGACAGACACACATTCTGCACGAACAGACACTCATATTGCACGAACAGACACATACTGTACATACAGACACATCTCTTGCCTGAACAGACATGACCTGCGCACCCCCCCGAACGAACAGATGTGACTCCCAAGTCCAGATATTGCAGCTGTTCGTACAGGGCACAACTGTGACCTTTGACATTGACTTTTACTTAGCTAGGATGCGACTTTTGACCCAGAGAACATGTCCTTTGATCTGCTTTCACGAGTTGGGCCCTGGCGAGTGACCCCTCTATGCTGCATTTGCCGAACAGGGTCTGAATCGGGTAAAGGCCCTTTTACAGTAGAGTGTGTCTGAGTGCTGACTCTGTTCTCATGCTGCGTTTCTGTGACCTTGGGAGGGATAGAAATAGGAATAGATTATAGATGCAGTTAAAGGGACAGAAATGAAATTCGGTCACAACAAAAGGACTTATGGGAAATTCTAGGGATGCCAGGCACAAAAGTAGCAGCCTGGTACGGATTTTCCAGCAAGACGGTGGGTTCCAGCCGCACGAGTCCACCATCCTCACCCAGCTCAGGACAGCACGCAGGTGATGATGACAAACCGCAAAGGGAAAGTCAACATCATCTGCGTGCTGTCCTGAGCTGGGTGAGGATGATGGTGGACTCTTGCGGCTGCGCGTGCGCGCGGGCACGCGCGCGCGCGCGAGAGAGAGAGAGAGAGAGATGGTCGTGGTGCTGCAACCCAACCAACATCCTCTGCGCATGTACCTACGACAGTCACAAGAAGGTTGTTGGTTGGGTTGCAGCACCGCGACCATCTTCACCTGAATAGAATGCCCCGTCATCATCTTCTTCCCGTCTCCCCCTCCTCCTCCTCCTGTCATCCTCTTCTTTTTTTTATATAAATTTGTTTAATTTGGACCATTTCTCATATTTATGTGTGTCATCCTTGTGCAGGGGCCATGCTAATCTTCTCTGCATCGTTCCAATTTTAACAGATGTCCCGAAGGACAGCCATCATTATAACTGTATTTGGGGCGCCAACTTCCAGTCCACAAACAACAAGAATGACCGCGCATTTGAGTCGGGTGAAGACGGCAGTGAGAGTCTGTGAGAGAGGTTAGCATGTTGGTTTCGGGACGAAGTAACTGCTATTAGATTTCAGAGGTAAGAGTGCATCGGCTATGGTTTTCAGGTACCTGCTCATTTCACTTGCAAAAGAACGACTGTGAAAAGCGCTGGGATCAGGTGCGTCAGGTACGCACTGACCAGCGGCCCTGGCTCCTCAGAAAGATGGCTTTCAGGTACCTGCTTGTTTCAGCTTGCTAAAGGTCGACTGTGATAAGTGTTGAGACACTTGAGAGTCCTTCGGGACATACCATTGAATTGGAACAATAGACAGAAGATTAGCATGGCCCTTGGGCAAAGATCACACACGACTGTGATAAGTGTTGAGACACCTGAGAGTCCTTCGGGACATACCATTAAATTGGAACAATAGACAGAAGATTAGCATGGCCCTTGGGCAAGGACGACACACATAAATGCAGAAATGGTCCAAATTGGGGGGGGAGGAAAGGAAAAAAAAAGCGTTGGGATGAGCTGCCTTCAGGTGCTGAGCAAAATGACTCTTGCTTTTAGTCTGAAAGATGGGTCTCTGATACCTCCTTGTTTCATCATGCAAACGATGAACTGTGAAAAGCGTGAAGAATAGATGCTTCTTTGAAGGACCACTACCTTTCCCTCATATCGTCCACTGGGTGGGTCCCCGCATATTTCGGAGGCCGGAACAAAACGGCGGCCCGATGAGAATTATCAACGCCGGGTGCTGTTCAGCCCAGCCCACGAAATATGCGGTGTACGCTATACTCCCAGTTTTCCCAACGGCCGGAAAGGTAGTGCGGTTCATTAAAAAAAAACAAAAAAAAAGTTAAAAAAACTGTAAACACAACCAAACAAACAAAGATTAGGTGCTTCTGGTCGGTACTGAACAACGGCTCTAGTAGGCACTGAACAACAGCTCTCATTCCTCCCTTTGGTTGGATGCAATGGATGGAGAAAACATGGAACAATTAATTAGCGACACCAAGCAACTATAAGTTGGTTTGCCCATGCGCTGTACTTTAAATTTGAATTGCAAAGTCTTTAAACTTTGAAGTTTAAACTTCAAAGTCTTTAAACCTTGTGCATACCTTTCTGTGAGGAATGTGTCCTCATGGGGCCCTAGACAACACGCACATGTTCTGGACTGTGGCCCCCAGCAAGCCTCATGCCCGCCCTAAGTGAAGGTGGGCCTGAATATCCACGAGAGGCCCTTATCTCAGCATTTTCCAATGTGGGTATCAGACAGTTGCCGCATGCCAGTTGGTTGAAGTGCAACCTGGGCCTCACCCTGGGCTCTTTCCAGAAGCAGCAGCTGCGTCAATGTTACATCTTCGACGCCACACGGGTCCTACCGGACCCGACTTAGGGCCAGAGGGACACAGTAGGGCCTAAAGGCCCGACCTTGGGGGTACTACAGGCCGTAAAGGCCTCATCTTGGACCAGACCCGACGGGCAGGCCCAGACGACATTACCGTTTGGGCCTGGCGGCGCTCTTGAGGCTGCCGCCCGCCGGTTGGGGCTGAACCGTCAATCTTGACGGTTCAGGGCATGGCCAGGCCTCGCAGCATAGAGGCCGGCCTCTGCCCCACCGGTACAAAAGTACCGGTCCAGCCTCATTCCAGGATCGAACCACCGGCACTCTAACGGTGCGTTATGGTCTAGCACCAGAGTGCTAGCGCTATACTTAGCGCAGGAGCACGAGGAGCAGCAGCGGCAGCGGTATCGCAGCAGTGGCAGCGAGCGGAGCAGCAGCAGCGGCGACTGAGCAAGATCGGCGGCCATAGCCGCCTGAGGTATCGGGAGCCGGGGGTTCTCTCCTCCCTCCCGTCGCCAGTCCCCTCTCTCTCTCTCTCCTCCTCGACTCCCTTCAGACTTCTTCTTCTTCTTCTTCAGACTTCTTCCTCTTCTTCTTCATACTTCTTCTTCTTCTTCTTCAGATTGGAGACTTCATACTAGTTGGACAGAGATCAGTGCTGGACTTCGGTGGTAAGAGGCTGTGGTACTTACCGGATTCGAGACTTGGAGATTGTTGGGGTTGATACTCGGCGGCATCACAGTTCGGACACCGTTTACATTAGGACTCTGCATCTCCGACATTGGTGACTTATTGTCCTCGACATTTTGATCTTGTTTGATGACATTTTGGACTACCATATCGGTGACCTACGGTGCTGTCTACCTCCCCCACCTCCTTCGTCTCTCCTCCCACCATTCATCTGTGTATGCGTGTACGGGGCCTGAACATCTTCCATGTATGGCTCAGACCCCACCATCTCACGATTGTATATGTGTGGAGTGATATCTGTGTGAGTCAGTCTATGTGAGTCAGTCCGTTATCAGACTTCGGCTGCATACATGCTCATCCTATATTGGTTGATCTTTGGTTCTGCCCCATACTCGTTGATACAATCACGAGTATGTAACAGTCAAGCAGTTGAGCCCAGGACGCAGGTGGTTGCGCCCCAGGCACATGCAGTGTGAGGCCGACATATCACGAAGTGGCTGCGGACCAATGAGAATGCAGCATTGTCGTCACACCTACCCGCGGGCCAATGCAAACACAGCAAACACTTGGAGCCTGGAGGATCCTGGGTGTGCCCAACTAAAAAGGGCCCAGGTCCTTAACTGTAGAGAGGGGCCTGGGCACAGACACTGGGGCCTGACCGGAAGCTACTGGAAACTTCCTCGGCCAGGCCCAGACAGTCCAGCAGCAGGGCAGCAACTCCCATACAGGGAGGAGGCCAGCCTGGGGAAAGCATTCTGGCCTAGGCAGGCAATGCGGACACGCTGCTGCATCAGAGCGCAAGTGTCTGCATGCGCTATGCTGGCTGGGGCGCGCGCGGGCACTAAGAGGTGTGGGGCGCTGCAGGGCAGTGGGGCGCCAAGCGGCCATAGCCGGGCTGCACGGGCGCGGGCAGGCGATAGTGATCTTCACGGAAGGAGGCGCAGGTGTGGGTGGACAAGGTCTGATGAGGGAATGCGAGAGAACGTACCTGGTGTATGTGGGAGGTCGGCATTGGTGTTGACGTCATGTACATGGTCTTCGTCATCGAAGTGAGCCTGTTGCACGAATGTAGATAGGCTAGATAGTATGAGTAGTGTAGGCTGGGCGCTGGGCACCATACAGAGAGATCGACATTGAATACTGCGTTGGTGTGGCCTGAGGGCTTGGACATTGGCTCACGAGTTCATTGTATCGCTCTTATTTGGATGGAATCTTGGTGCATTTGAGCTCTCTGCTTGCTACACGACTATCTGGACTTCTGCGTTATTTTGCAACTTGGTTTTCTTTTTTTTTTTTCTTTTTTTCTTTTTTTTTAAGGACCCCAGCAGTACATATGCAGGGGTCCCAACATCTCAAGAGATGTTCAGCAAATTTCATTGCAACTTGGTTTTCTGTTTATCGATCACGCTCATATTCCTGGCATTTCTCTGCTTTTTGGCTAACAAGCGAGTGTAGTATCCGTTCTGATCAGCTTAACATCTGATCCGTTAGTCCATCGGACCAATAAAAAAAGTGAAAAAGGAAGACTTCAAAGTTTAAACCTTGTTTCCTCAAATGATTCAGATGGGCATGTGAGTTCAGAAACTTGGCTCATATCCATTCTCACATCTTGTAGATCTGTCGAACTCATTTGCAGTGAAATGAGGTTCGGTGAGGAGCACAGTAATAAGCCCACAGCTTCGGCAGCCACGTCATCCAGCTCAATCCCATGAATATCAAGCTCGGTAAAACTGCCCACAGAACACACAACACAGGATCACGCAGAGCGATTCAGAAACAAAATGACCGACAAATGTGCTCTTCCATGCCGTGGCCTCCCGAGACATCTTGCTCACCAAAGGAGAGGGTGATAACCAAAAAAGGCCACAAAACTTCACAAAAAGCCCAACAACATAGGCCTGCAAGCGATTCAGAAACAAAACGACCGACAAATGTGCTCTTCCATGCCGTCGCCTCCCCAGACATCTTGCTCACCAAAGGAAAGCGTGATAACCAAAAAAAGGCCACAAAACTTCACAAAAAGCCCAACAACATAGGCCTGCAAGTGTACGTACGTCCGAATTAACAGCCACTACCGTCTTCCCCCGAACATAAGGCATATGCGTTGTAAACGAATACAACGCATACCGTGCGTTGTATTCGTTTACAACGCATATGCGTTATGTTCGAGTGAACGAGACAAACTTTGTCTGCACAAGGGGGTCCGGTCCAGGCTGAGTAGGCTCAGTTCTGGACCACGGCTGGGGGGCTCAGAGCCCTGGCAAAAAGGTAAAAATAAAGTAGCAACGTACGTTTCCATGTTTTGGGTTGAGTTTCATTCCTTTCCCCTACTTGGGCCCTTGCTTCACTCCTCAGCAAATGTGCAAAACACGAATGAATTTTCCACTAAACCGTGGACAAATACAACCCCTTTTTTTTTGTCTCGGTGACCAGGGTAGTGTAGCAAGACTTTGGTGAGTGACTTTCTTATTTTTTCACTTTCTTGGCTGCGCCACTTTCTTGGCCGCGCCACTTTCTTGGCCGTCAGAAGCGCCTTCGTTCACAAGGAGAGAGAGAGAGAGAGAGAGAGAGAGAGAGAGAGAGAGAGAGAGAGAGA